GGATTCATTATTCAAAAAACTTTGACCATTTAATACTTCTTTAAATAAAGACAAATTGTGTTTGGAGTTCACATTTAATTCAAAAAAGGTAAAGTGAACATTTGAGCTTTCTCTACAGCTTTATTAATTTAACCACTTTCTTTAGCTTGGCTGTAAAGGAATGGGTTGTGACTAGACATGTGCACTGCCAAAAAATTTGTTTAGTTTCGTTTTAAATTCGGATTTGTGTTATTTCGTTTTTCGGGATTTGGGTGTGAAAGTCAATTCGGATTCGGACGAAATTCGGTAGCGGTAGGTCGAACGTTCGTTTCGTTTTCTGTTTTTATTCGTTTCGTTCGTTCGTGACATTTGAGGGGGAAAAAATATTTTTCTCCTTCTCTAATGTCACTTTGCTCCAACGAACGAAACGAATAAGAACCGAAAAGGAAACGAACGTTCGAACTACCGCTACCGAATTTCGGAAATGGAAATTCGGATTTGTTTGCATTCGTTATGTCTGTAATTCGGATACATCCGAATGTCCGAAAATTCGTCCGAATTTCGATTCGGAATGAAACGAATCGCACATGTCTAGTTGTGACCACATAACCAGCGTGGCAGGAAGTTGGCAGTATTTTACCTATATTACCAGGTCAGCACTGCCGAGGTAAATCCAGAATGCACTGAACCGGGCTGAACTCTTTACACCGGAAGTAGTAAAACCTAATGCTGGTGGAGTCCATCATCTGAAATATAGTTATTTATTTCACAATCGGCTTGATATTAAACATTGAAGCTCCCCCCTATTGCTTTAAGAATGCGTGTGACGTTGGGAGCCGACTGGTGATAAGAGTTCATGTACTTTGTCCATTTTCCATCAACTTTTTACTGTTTTATTGAATAAGCTTGTCAGAATCATTAAGACAGAGGGCACTACTACGCATGTTTTAAATTGTTGAAGAAAACTTAAACTCAATCCCTGGGGTGAAATATTATCTGATATTGTCCCTGGTTGCAATTAAATCTAGGACACTTTGCACAAGTCTTCTCCAGCACATCCCAAAGATTCTCAATGGGGTCTGAACTCTGTGATGGCCAATCCATGTGTGAAAATGTCTCATGCGCCCTGAACCACTCTTTCACAATTGGAGCCCAATGAATCCTGGCTTTGTCATCTTGGAATATGCCTCTGCCATCAGGAAGAAAAAAAAAAATCCATTGATGGAAAAACCTGGTCATTCAGTATGTTCAGGTAGCAGCTGACCTCATTTTTGGCCACATAACATTACTGAACCAACCCTTTTAATCCAATGGGCTCTGACCTATTTGCTTAGCTAAAACCAGGTGGCGACTTATTTTTTGGACAGGCAGCGTATATTGGAAGTCTAACTCGGCTTTAAAAATCTGCTGTCACTTTAAGAGATGTCAGCAGCTCCCGTGATGCAGTTTCCCCGATAGTGTGCCATCTCTTCAGCAGATCTGTCAACTTTTTACCCACAAAGCTTTCTTGCTAATTTCCCAACTTGTGAATCACCATCAGATGGTGTTTCGATAAGTTTTCTTGTTTGTCTGACTTGCTGAGCACGGCATGTTTGTGGGCAGAAGTTCACAGGCTGGTAATACTTGACTCAATTCTCGGTATCACCACCGACTTCTGGGCAGCTGAAGAGGAAGTAGGCACAGAACCGTTTAAAACTGTGGTTTTTGTCTTCAAAGTTTCCGGTGTGCAATGCTTAACATCAAAGATTGAACATCAAATGTATTTACATTATCACTTTTGTTAAAATTTGGCATTGTACACTATTTATAATGATAAAAATATACCTTTTAAAAACTTAAGACCTCATCTTGACTATCATGTAACGGCATCAAAACTGTTGCATGTATATTTTGTAAAGTATACCTAAAGCCAAAACTTGTTTTTCATTATAGAGTGGGGTTTCAACCTCAATAGATTTGAAACTCCTGGAAGTTTGTTTTGCTTTTGTTTAGTCATGGGTGTCTCATTGGGGATATTTTGCTTGATTTCCTGTCCTATAAACACAACAGAAAGTAAGATGACATTTCTCTAAAGCTGCCCATACACTGTCTCTCGCTCAGCCCCACGGTTCCAACAAAAGTCAATTGAAAATAAACTTTTGTTGAATGTAGGGGTGCCGACTGGCCCACACATTGGTTGAAAATTCAACAAGCGTATGGCTAAGCTTTGAGTGAGGGAAATTACCTCCTTGGCAGTTGTCACCAAAAACAAGTGTACCCATTGAAAGATACCCCTTCTACTTACTTTCAGTGAGAATAGTCATCAAGACAAAGAGTGAATCTCCCTAAAGCGAAAACACACAATAAAAGGGGCTCTAACCCTTTGTCACACCTTTAAAGCTAAAAAAAAAAGGAACTTTGACTTTACAAGCAGGTTATTTATATGTGTACTGGGGTAGCCATCATTGTTCATCACAAAGGCAGGCTTTAGTTCTTATTTAAAACTATGGTTGTGCTTTACTGTTCCTCATTCCGAAGGCAAATCTATCTGTCTGGTCAGTCTAAATGAGCACAATACACCCTATTGGTTGGGTATCCTGTATTTTAACTTTCAGTTGCTCAGCTGAGATGCTGACTGCTTGTCTGATATACAAAAGTTCTCAAGAAGGAGAATATACAAATGTATTAACTTGCATGACTTGTACGATCTTGCATGTTTGTTAACTTGTAAGATCTTTTTATAATTGTATGATTTTGTACACTTGTATGGTCTTGTAAACTAGTATGATCTTGTATACTTGTATCCATGTTAATGTTTGATCTTGTAAACTTGTATGATCTTGTAAACTTGTATGATCTTGTATACTTGTATCCATGTTAATGTGTTTGATCTTGTAAACTTGTATGATCTTTTATACTTGTTAACTTGTATAATCTTGTATGCATGATCTTGTATACACCTATGATCTTGTATCTATGTTACTGTGCATGATCATGTATGACCTTGAATGCTTGTAAGAGCTTGTAAACTTGTATCTTTATAAGATTTTGTATACTTATAAGCTTGTATGATCTTGTATCTATGTTAATGTGCATGATCATGAATGCTTGTTAGATCCTACAACCTTGTATGACCTTGCATCTTTGCAAGATTTTGTATACTTATAAGCTTGTATGATCTTGTATCTATGTTAACATGCATGATCATGTATGATCTTGAATGCTTGTATGATTTTGTATACTTGTGCACCTGTATGATCTTGCATACTTGTATGAATGTGTATATTTGTAAACTCGTATAATCATGCATCAAGCATGGATGAGAAAGCCAGTAAAATCAAACAAAATATGCAAGTGTTCGAATTTAACTAAACCTGTGTATGTAGAACCAAGGTAGTTGTCTCTTTATATGAAGAAAAAGCAATAACACAAGTAATGTTCAAGAAACAAACTGCTTTATTTAAAGCAGAGACTGAGATACATTAGAATCACCCTGATACCAGGTATAATTCCCCTGAGAACAATTAAATTCTCTTTAGATTCAAAACACATTCTAGAACAATAAAACCCCAGATACTGGAGCTGTGACAATAATGCAAGCGCGTTAAAAGATATATAAAGATTTCAATTCAATAAACAGCATTTTTTTTTCTGATCCACAGAAAGAAAAATAATTAGGTACATAAAAGTTATTTCATTAGATACACAGTAAAAACACTGCACCTTTATATTATATACAAACAGCGCCCAATATGGGCAATAATATCAAATCCTCAAATGAAAAATTCCACCTTCAAGCTGCACTAAAACTCTTTTGCTGGAGGTTCTGAAGAGCAATTGAAAAATATTGCTGCTCATAGCAAACATAGAATGCCAGTTTTCCAGTGCAGGTTTAAAAACACAAGTTTAATGGCACTGGGCAAGTTTAGACAGCGTTCAGGAGACAGTCAGTCCAAGCCAAGAGCCAGAAAATAAGCGGTTTCGTCAAGGCTGAAAGTCTCCTGGGCTTGCCTAGCCCTGGCTATGGGTAACAAAATGACTTCTCATATCACATGGTTAAACTCTTCAGTACTGAAAACAAATAAGTGACCCAGCATATCTACAGAATACACTTGTGCAGTTAGACCAGGTGACCCAATACTGAACAAAGTCATTATTTTATGGCATGATACTGCTTAAAATAAGCAGCCTGGACTGGTCTTGGAATGATTGCACTCTGCGACACGCTGGCGTTTTATTTCCAGAAGAAAGCATTCTATGGTAAGACTGGTAGCTTTAAAAATGTTTTTTTTTGCATAGGGATTTTTTTATGTTAGTTTTCTATAGTTAAAAGGTTCTCACTGCCAAAAATTAATTGCCATCTCAAAATGATTCCCAGATTATCTATTTTTATTAAACCTTATTGACTGAATTTTCACACTGGAAAGGGATGTCTCAAACACTTTGTTCCCATTATTTCTCTTCAGACTTTTCTGCATAGATTGATTTTTTTTTTATATTATAAAAATTAGTAATAACCATCCACAAAACAAATTCTGGCCAAATGTGGCTTTTGTCAATGGTTGTGAATGCTACATCCCATTTCAGTGTGGCAGCTTAAGGTGCTTTCAAGAGTCCAGCTCTTAACGTTACTATCAAAGTGCCTTTAAGATGTGCTTAACTAGTTTTCTGCCAGAGCAGAAAAAATGCATTGGTAGAAAAGGGGTTAAATCACTATATAGTTCCTAAACATAAAAAGGCATTAATAAGGCAGTGTAAGGTACAACGAGCAAGTGCCAAGTGCTTAAACCCATAACAACCAATGAATACTGGTTTGTTGCAATGCCTGTTGCACATACTCATTGCACTTTTCACTGCTTCATTAAGCGA